ACAAGTGTTTGTGTGCATTCTTCGTTACTTCCAAGTAATACTAGCGTATAACTATAAGTAGCGTAAACGTTGTCAATTTGAGTAGGCTTTACGTTGGTGATTTCCTCGTAAGGTATCCATTTCAGTCTATTTACTAATACGTTTTCCAAGGAGGATTCAACCAAGTTGGCAATGGCTGGATTATTAGCAAATGACGACATAGTAATAGTTGAATTGAAAATCTTATCTCTCAAGTTAAACTATCAACCCTTAATTGTGTTACATTGCACGCAAATCGATCGGCCTTCTCAACAGCTCGATGCCCCGATCAAATTTGGAAATTAGTTCCATATATAGGTAGGGGTATCTAGGGGTACCAATTTGATTCCCCTACTGAAGGGGCATCGACTAAATTGGAAATTGTTTATTTTTTCACATGAATCTAACCCTGATATCGAGCAGTATGTGATGGTAGAAAATTTATTAAAATATCACAATATATGAACTCGCGTCGGCAACTCTTTTTCATAACATTAACATGGCTACTAATAAAAAACTAAAAGTTCCGGATCTTTCATTATACAAACACCGATGACATATGAACCTGAAGTGTTAGACAATACCTCAAGTTCGATTGATACATATAATAATGATTTACTTGTGGTTCCCGATGATAGTCTACAGTCAGAATGTAATAGTAGCATGATTGGATGTTCTTCAGAAGTCGTCTCAAAGAACAAACGAAGGGCAAACAATGGTGAGCATGAGGAAGACATGTCGAAAAAAACTCGAGCATGGGGTCGAGGTGAAACGCTTGCTCTTTTAGCGGCAATGAGGGGACATTACAAGGCTCTGCACAATACACGGCATACTAATGATAAAGGAAAAATCTGACTTAGTATCTTTGACGAGTTTAAAACAGAAATGAGAGGAGAAACGGATAGAACAGATAAAGCATTGAAAAGAAGGTAATTAATCTATTCATGTTATGTTAACAGGAAATTTAAACTGACACAAAATTCATTAATAAATATGGGGAAAACTGGCACTCGATTATAAAAAAGTACAAGATAACAATAAAAGAACAGGTGCAGAACGAATGGAGTGTGAATATGAAGAAGAGATTTGTGAAATAGTTGGTGATAATCCCGTGTATAATGAAGTCTACAGTTCAGCCAATAGAAAAAGATCCAGTACTCTTGCACGACAAGAGAAAGCCGAGCAAAATAAGAAAAGAAGCGACACTTTAGATAATCTTGTTGAATTATATCAACAGACACGCAACGAAACAGAGAATATAACAACAGACTGCTGGCTATTCTTGAACGACTTGTAGACTCTGTTGCCAGTGACCGATCTTTAATAAACTTTACTTGAGATTTAACCGTTTATTGTTACACATCATGAGAAAATTGACTTACCAGCTGGTTTCTCTTAGTTTCACCACAATGTGTGGTATAAACATCAACTGATATGTCAGAATCTATGCTATTAATATCGTCATCTCCATCAGTATTTTCAGCGGTTTCCCAGAAATCACAGCAATTAATACAAAGGTTATGGAGGATACAACAAACGTCAGTAATGTCTACAGCAGTACTGTCTATTACTTTCATACCATTTTTGAGTATGCGCCATCGCGCCTTAAGCTTTCCAAAAGCTCTTTCGACAGCCATACGAGCAGAGGAATGTGCTCTATTATAACGTTTCTGAGCATGTGTTAACCTCTGTCTTCCGCTTTCTTTAAACGGCACCAATAACCAAGGCATGAGTGAAAACGCCGAATCTCCAAGAAGATGCGTATTATCAGAAAACCGTTTCCTAACATCCTGAGGCAAAATGAATCCACAACATCGTATACATAATAATATAATGCCAGATTTATAAAATCTTACCTTCATAACTTCTTCCCAGAAATCTGACTGTTTGAAAGCACGAGCATCGTGCACACTTCCAGGTTGACCAGAATAAATGTATGTAAAGCTTTCGGTATCATCTACGATTGCCATCAAAATGATATCTTTTACGATTTATGTATCGCTGATGAAATTGCGTCCTCGGACGCTGAATAGGAATGTGGGTTCCATAAACAGCTCCAATAACATTAGGAATTCGTTGTCCAAATTCTGGCGGTGCAAACCCTTCAATAACTTGTTGAACCTTTTCACTAATAGGCCAATGAATTACGTGTTATAGAGTGTCCAGAACGGCCTCAATAAAGCGTTTTGGTAAAATGTGCGACTGATCCTTGGCTTATACAAACATTTGCTCCAATTGACGATATCCCATAGGGTTCAAATCGTTGAATTACAACAGCAACTTGCATTTCAAGAGGAATTTGAGGTTGAAAAGGAGTAAACGCATAATTAGGATGTTGATGTAAAACACTTAGCAGTTGATTAAATGTAGAGCGCCGAATACGAAAATGAGATTTGAAATTATTGTATTCACTCTCATCATTAAGGTGTGGAAATATGTCTGTCCAATAAGCCATAGTTTTTGGTCGAAGTAAACGACATGCGCGAGTAAGATTCGGTTTTGAATCAAGAAGTGATGCTAATTCTATTTCAATTAATATTTTGTCAAAATCTTGTTGAGCCTTTAAGGCTCTGTTATTGCAAGTACAATGAAAAGAACTTTCTGGTTGATAGATGATATCGTAGTAGATAGATAAATTATAATAAAAAAACGTTTATTTATCGTTTCCGTAAGTTACATATCACTTATCACATTAAATTTATGTATCACAAAACCTAAATACAGTATTACTCTATTTAGAAAGGCTGTTGAGAACTGATGCCCTACTTTGTACACATTTCCAAATTCGATCGGGGCATCAAAGCCGTTGAGAACACACTATGTCTAAATTTTGTTATATCGAATCAGCGTTTGTACAAGTCATTAACACAGACGACACTCTATTTCTTATCAACTTACGCATTATACCACGACCAATCACAGTACTGTACGATTGGTTTGACTTAGTATCAAATAACATACCTTCTATTAACCCTACAAAAAGAGCCGAACGTCTGGAACTAATATAATACTAAAATTATATAATAATCATGACAAGAAAACAATCTAGCCTTAGTTTTAAAGTTTTCCGACGTACGGAACGGCACAGGATAACGTGCTCGTTACAATCTTTATGAACATTATTTCCATTATTCTTTTTACTTAAAATAACTAACAAATTCGAATGACTGAAGGTAAAAATTCTAGCCCAGAGTTTAAATCGGTTCCGACTACATTAAAACTGGCGTAGCTAGCCACCGCCACCGGACGCGTTTACGAGACATCAATTTAGCAAAAATTGAGTACGCACGCCACTATACAATGCTACAAACAACATCGTCCTTTGCCTCGGCTATTTCTAATCCTCATTTAATCAGACTTTCATGCTCTCGCCTCTCAATATAGATCTCAACATTTGATTGATAGACGTCAATTAGAATTTTGTACGATGAAGTTTTTTACTGTATTGATCAAGCGTTTTTACCTAAATTAACTCAGTGCCAACATTTATATTGTAGAGTACGAGTCGAAAAAACGAACATGGGTTCGTAAGCATATACATTAGTGTGTTAAAAGGTTTAAAGGGTTTATGCTATGCACATCGATCGACATATCATGGTGAAAAAATCAACCCTTTGAGTTACTGAATACGTTAGAAATATTTTGTTTTGGCACAGAATAAAATACAAACATCGATCGACGTATCATGGTGAAAACTTTTTGAGTTACTGAATACGTTAGAAGTAATTTTTTGTTGGTATAAGATGCAAGCACAATTGCAATAAATATATAATTGTGAATATGCTTGAGTTACTAAAAGCGTTAGCACAATAATTATTTTATTGGCACGAAGACGCAAATTCGAATTTAAATACAAGAGTATTAAATGGCGTAATAAACGTGGCTCGATATATACGTTAGCAATATTCATTACAAGGATTGTGGAGTAAACATCGATTGACTTTATCACGCGCCTTTTGAGTTACTAAATGCGTTAGACACTTCTTTTATTTGTGATGGCAAAATTTACTCGATTTATGGTGTTTAAGGCTTAACAATCTGGGTTTAAGCCGAAGGTAGTTCTAGTCAACCAAATTTGGTCCAATCACAGACTGATCGTGATATCTGCAGATATCGATTAAGCCTTTATTACCTATTACTATTACTATTTTTGATTTTAAGAGATAAATTATAAGACAACAACGTGCCGTTCGCCGTCTTGAATGATATTATGCATTGTTCATTGCCTGATGAGTTATCGCCCAATTTTGTTGAATGATTCATATAATGACGGCGTATGATTACTGTCTGTACGCACAATTTGGTAATCAATGTACGCTTACGAATCAATGTTTGGAATCAGTTAATACTATGCATACGCTTTATCGAACGTTACAATTACATTCATTGATGAGTTATCGCACAATTTGATGATCAAATATACGCTTACTATTACGAATCAATGTTTAGAAACAGTTACACTATTTATACGCTTTATCGAACGTTACAATTACATTCATTGAATGAGTCGTTTGTGAGTAGTTTAAGATTATTTAGCAAATTTCATATTATTCTTCATAAACTTTCTTCAGCGCGCAGTTTTTTAAACTGAAAAATAAAATGTTATTCAATCAGGTGTGTTATACATTTCTACTTGTAATAGCGATATAATATTCTTTGAAATAAATGTTCTGAAACTTTTAAAGTTTACGTATATGAATGCGTTTTGGGGATTAGACGGGGTTTACATTGTGATATAATTTATATATGACAATAGCAAAATGTCGTGAACATATAGTTAACTGTCATAAGATATTTTATATTGCGGTCTAGAACTGAGACATGTCTTGGTCCAGAACTGAGACAGCTCAGAACTATGAACTGAGGTACAACATGTATATGATATGATTACGCAAAGTCGATTTTCTTCCTTTGCAGCTTGGATAAAGACACTCAGTGGCAAGCGTTTT